TCATCTTTATTATCATGTTCACGACGTTTCGGCCGTTGTACGATCCGGCCTTCTTCAGGATCTATTTATATTTCTGAGATTAGGTATTGTAATTATTTACATTATTTACATTGTTCAGACTGTTGTCCTCATCTTTAATATCATGTTCACGACGTTTTGGCCGTTGTACGACCCGGCCTTCTTCAGGATCTATTTATATTTCTGAGATGAGGTATTGTAATTATTTACATTATTTCCATTCTTCGGACTGTTGTCCTCATCTTTATTGTCATGTTCCCGACGTTTCGGCCGTTGTACGATCCGGCCTTCTTCAGGATCTATTTATATTTCTGAGATGAGATATTGTAATTATTTACATTATTTACATTGTTAGGACGGTTGTCCTCGCATTTATTGCCATATTCACGACGTTTCGGTTCTTGTACGGTTGGAATTTCGAACCGAACCTTTTATTTCGTCCGTTGGGGTAGATAGTTCTAATTTCACGTGCCATGCCTCTTCCGGATCTCACTTATCTCTCTTTAACTCAACTCTCCAAGTATTTTTGTTCCCCAGTGCCGTAGCCATGTATTGAAATCACAATTCTTTGTGTCAAGTCACTGGATCCAACCAACACTTTTAACCACTGGGCCATGTGTCCTTGAGGTCATATTAAGTTTATAAGTCCCCAAAATTCATACACTGATGTCCTCAAGGGTTAGAAGGCCGGAGCGTACAACGGCCGAAAGGTTGCGAACATGACATTAAAGTTGAGGACAACAGTTCGGCCGATGTACTTATAAGCTTCTTCTTGCTCTAAATCTTTGATTGTTACCGCAGGGTCTAATTTTACGAGGATCACTTCAACAAACCTCCTCTAGGTGATACAATTAGAATTCTGGATTTAGCACATTTATCCAGTCCAAATTCTATTCCAGTGTTATAACTGAAACCTTTTACTATTTTCAGGAGATTTTTCAGCTCACTGTCTTTCCTAACATACAACTTTAAATCATCCATTTAAAATAGATGGCTTTTTTTATTTTACGATATATTATAGTCATATACCATCCTATTAAGTTCACTGGTTAATGTTATTAGAGATATACAAGGGAGACAAAGGGTCACCTTGATATATTCTTATGTTGATGATTATTTAACCAAACTTATAGACTCTATTTATATGATTAAGATGAAGTGTTCTTTTCCATATCGACATACTTTGATGAAATTAATGACGAGCAATGATACCTTGTCTATATTTAAAAACGTTAATATTCAGGATTAATAGGGTGCATAATCGAATGACTTACGGTAATCTATCGTGGCAATTCTGAGATTTTTCTTTGTACTGAAGCAGTTTTCCAAGATCATTCCATTAAGATGTAATTGGTATTTACATCCGTAAGAGATTGCCACCGTTTTTGTTCAAGAGGTATTATGTCATTTTATCTAAGAAGGAATGTATCCGATTGGTTAGAATAGATGTCAACAGTTTGTAAGTAGTGAAAAGATATTTAATTGGTCAGTAGTTTTATTTATTTTTTTTTATTTGTGTGACCATTCTTGGGTAGAAGGAAGTGAATTTCTTTGGTTATCCATGACGGAATTTTAGTTGGATTACTGACCATTTCTTGAAGTTCTTTGGCTATTTTTTTTTGCGTTGTATTTAGATATTATAGCCAAAAGATAAGAATTTTATCTATTCCTGGAAATTCCCACTTGTGTGCTTTTTTTTCCAGTGTACATTCAACATCCTCTTCTGTGACTCCCGCCCATCTTTGTTCTGGTTTATTTCTTATCCGTTCTACTTCTTGTGTAATCCAATCAGTTTCTTATGTTCTTTAGGGCAAGTCCCATAGTTTCCCAGAACTGTATAACTTTTTCCGTTGTTTTTGTCACTTAAATATTTTGTCTATATTTCTGAGAAATTGCATGACACGGTGGATAAAGGCGTTGGTTAGATCCAGTGACAGGACCCAAAGAGTGTGAGTTCAATACCCGGTTAAGGCAGTGGAGAACTTCCAGAGGGAAATTAACAGGAGATAACTGATAATTGACATCCATTAAACATAGCCGTGAGCTCCATCTAGAACTGGAATTTCTGATGTGGCTCTGATGAGCCACATTTTTAAGATTTCCACTTCAAGATCCTTGTATTCCGATAATTTTTTGAAACTCTTCAAAGATACATTACAATCTGCAAGGACTGCCATGTCAAAAATATCTGTAGTTGAAGGCATAAAATTGTGTTCAAAATATTTAAATTTCGGCATTAAATAACCCATAGAGATGTCGATGTGCCGCTAAACAAAACCAACCAACCAACCATTTTACATTCAAGTCACACACTTCATTCAATAATTCACTACGATGAGTGGCTCTTGAGCCTTTTATTCTGTAGCAAAAACTCATGGAGGTTCTTTTCCCCTCGTGTGCTTTTTTGTTTATGTTTATTGCTAGGGAGCTTTTTATATAGAGCGATGTTTTCTGTTGTAGCTAAAGTGCTTTTGTAATACTTTGTAACATACGGATAACTTGCTAAACATGACACGTTTTAATACACTAAAAAAACCTTTCTTTCTAGATATATACTCTATTGAAATAGAGTGTGCGTCTAATATACTCCCCATGCGTATTTCGTGCTGTAATCTCTGCAGCATTACATTTCAGCTTTTGAAATTGTATAGGCGAGTTCTGGGGTACATGTTGCGACCTAATAGTGTCACATTACCCCAGAGACAAATTTTGATTCCATGACAATCTTTACCGACTCCAACCCGAAGTTAAAAGATCATCAGTCAGCGTAGTGTTTTTTTTATTGTTGGTCACTCAATACAAGGCCTCAAAGCCACTCAAATAATAGGATTACTGAATCAGATCGTGACAATCGGAGGAACATCCACTCGGGCGGTTCTTTCGTTGTCTGAATGAAACTTTCTTCTTACGAAGGGAATGATAAATGATACAGACAGCCTCCATAAAGATTTGCACCTCACTTTTCGGATATCATTCATAAATATTTGTACCGTTTTTTTTTTAAATATCACCCATTAAAACTTGTACCTTACTCTTCAGATATCATTCATAAACGTTGTATATCTTTTTTAATATTCTTCAAAGATATTTTTACCATAATTTTCGGACATCATTAATAAACATTTGTACCTTTACGAACATCCCCAATAAATTGTTGTACCTCACTTTCCAAACATCATTCATAAATATTGTACCTTTTTTTAAAGATCCTTTATAAATATTTGTACCTTTACGAACATCCTGCATAAATAATCGTAACCTCACTTTCCGGATATCATTCGTAAATATTATTCCTCTCTTTTAATATCCTTCATAAATATTTCGACTTTATTTATTGGATATAATTAATAAACATTTGTACCGGCACGGTCATCCCCATTAATATTTGTACCTCATTTTCTAGACATCATTCATAAATATTGTACTTCTTTTTTTAATATCGCATATAAATATTTAAACATTACTTTACGGACATATTTCATAAACATTTCTGTCTTTACGGACATATTCCATAAATATTTATACATTACATTACTGACATCTTTCATAAATATTTTGCATTTACGGACACACATCATAAATATTTATACCTTAATTTCCAGACATCCTTCATAAACATTCGTACATTTGCAGGCACCATCCATAAATATTTATACTATACTTTTCAGACATCACTCATAAACATTTGTAACTTTACGGACACCCTCTATAAAGATTTATACCTGACTTTTGGGACATCCTTCATAAACATGTGTAGATTTACGGGCACCATCCATAAATATTTATATCTTACTTTTCGGATAGCCTTTGAAAACCATTTGTACCTTCACGGTCAGCCACTATAAATATTTATAATTTACTTTTCGGGTATCCTTCGTAATTCTGGAATTAATTATGATCGTGGTAGAAAGTCAAGGGAAAAGAAAATGTGATTCTTAAAATGTTGAAAAAAAATTCCAGTAAATGTTTTAACCGCGTCTATTTTCGCATCAACGTCCTGTTCCGTAATCAAGCATTTATTATTTTTGTTTTTGTTGCCGTTGATTAAATGTAATCTTAGCCGGACTTTCGTAATCAGATAAATATATGTGAAGAGAAATGATCGCTTCTGAAATTTAAATTTGATATAGGATGTGTTTTTTCTCACTCCACGCCTCAGCCAATTGACATCAAAACTGCCTTTTTATCATTCATTAGTCTGGTGGAAAGTGAAAGCGAAGAACATCATTTAACCAGGAATTGCCAAGAAAAAAAAAAAAAAAAAGAAAAAAAAAAAGAAGCTTATCTGCGTATTCAAAAACAGAGCACTAAGTTTTCTGAACTCTAGACAATCTCTGCAAATAAAATGAAGTGTCCGTCTGTCTGCCTGTCTCTCTGTCTGTCCGTCTTTCTGTCCAATAGATTTCAACCAAACTTGGCATGCAGGTAGGCTATGAACCAAAGAAAATAACTGGCTATGCAAGATTCACCAAAGCCAGTGGTTCCCAACCATTTTTTCATTAGGTCGCATTTTCGGAATGCAAATTTGCTCGCACCTCACGATAATTTATGTGATAAAAAGTACATTTAAAAAATCCCAGAGAAATGGTTAAACGAAGATCACCACGGATACAAAATCATAACGATATCATTGATAACTCTCATCTCCAATATGAGGACCCTAGTTACTATATTCGTAATACTTGTTATAATGCAAAAACATCACAATGATAAAATTGGTCAATAATTATTTATAACTATTTATACTGGGACTCATGAATGGAATTACAAGTAATATATAATAATATTTTAAATTTTGAAATCATATTTATTTTTGGCATATGAATTTTTTAAAACTGCTTCTAAATCTTTGATTGTCTTTCAATCATTCTGCCTCACCTGCTATCATCTCCCGCCGCATCTGCTATCCTATTCCGCCTTACCTGCTATCCTCTCCCGCCGCATCTGCTATCCTATTCCGCCTCTCCTGCTATCCTCTCCAGCCGCATCTGCTATCCATCCTATTCCGCCACACCTGCTATCCTCTCCCGCCGCATCTGCTATCCTATTCCGCCTCTCCTGCTATCCTCTCCAGCCGCATCTGCTATCCTATTCCGCCTCATCCTCCGCCGCTATCCTCTCCCGCCGCATCTGCTATCCTATTCCGCCTCACCTGCTATATCCTCTCCAGCCGCATCTGCTATCCTATTCCGCCTCTCCTGCTATCCTCTCCCGCCGCATCTGCTATCCTATTCCGCCACACCTGCTATCCTCTCCCGCCGCATCTGCTATCCTATTCCGCCTCTCCTGCTATCCTCTCCCGCCGCATCTGCTATCCTATTCCGCCACACCTGCTATCCTCTCCCGCCGCATCTGCTATCCTATTCCGCCTCTCCTGCTATCCTCTCCCGCCGCATCTGCTATCCTATTCCGCCACACCTGCTATCCTCTCCCGCCGCATCTGCTATCCTATTCTGCTATCCTCTCCGCCCGCCATCTCCTATCCTCTCCCGCCGCTATTCTCCGCCGCATCTGCTATCCTATTCCTCTCCCGCTATCCGCCATCTGCTATCCTATTCCGCCTCACCTGCTATCCTCTCCCGCCGCATCTGCTATCCCTATTCCGCCTCACCTGCTATCCTCTCCCGCCGAATCTGCTATCCTATTCCGCCTCACCTGCTATCCTCTCCGCCGCATCTGCTATCCTATTCCGCCTCTCCTGCTATCCTCTATTCCGCCGCATCTATCTATCTATTCCGCCTCTCCTGCTATCCTATTCCTCCCGCCGCATCTGCTATCCTATTCCGCCTCACCTGCTATCCTCTCCCGCCGCATCTGCTATCCTATTCCGCCTCACCTGCTATCCTCTCCCGCCGCATCTGCTATCCTATTCCGCCTCACCTGCTATCCTCTCCCGCCGCATCTGCTATCCTATTCCGCCTCTCCTGCTATCCTCTCCCGCCGCATCTGCTATCCTATTCCGCCTCTCCTGCTATCCTCTCCCGCCGCATCTGCTATCCTATTCCGCCTCACCTGCTATCCTCTCCCGCCGCATCTGCTATCCTATTCCGCCTCTCCTGCTATCCTCTCCCGCCGCATCTGCTATCCTATTCCGCCACACCTGCTATCCTCTCCCGCCGCATCTGCTATCCTATTCCGCCTCACCTGCTATCCTCTCCCGCCGCATCTGCTATCCTATTCCGCCACACCTGCTATCCTCTCCAGCCGCATCTGCTATCCTATTCCGCCTTACCTGCTATCCTCTCCCGCCGCATCTGCTATCCTGTTCCCCGCCGCATCCTCTCCCGCCGCATCTGCTATCCATTCCGCCACACCTGCCATCCTCTCCCGCCGCATCTGCTATCCTATTCCGCCTCTCCTGCTATCCTCTCCCGCCGCATCTGCTATCCTATTCCGCCACACCTGCTATCCTCTCCAGCCGCATCTGCTATCCATTCCGCCTCACCTGCTATCCTCTCCCGCCGCATCCTATTCTCCTCTCCCGCCGCATCTGCCTATCTCCTATTATCCTCTCCCGCCGCATCTGCTATCCTATTCCGCCACACCTGCTATCCTCTCCCGCCGCATCTGCTATCCTATTCCGCCACCTGCTATCCTCTCCGCCGCATCTGCTATCCTATTCCGCCTCACCTGCTATCCTCTCCAGCCGCATCTGCTATCCCTATTCCGCCACACCTGCTATCCTCTCCCGCCGCATCTGCTATCCTATTCCGCTATCCCTTCTCCTGCTATCCTCTCCCGCCGCATCTGCTATCCTATTCCGCCTCACCTGCTATCCTCTCCCGCCGCATCTGCTATCCTCTCCCGCCGCATCTCTATTCCTCACCTGCTATCCTCTCCCGCCGCATCTGCTATCCTATTCCGCCTCTCCTGCTATCCTCTCCCGCCGCATCTGCTATCCTATTCCGCCTCACCTGCTATCCTCTCCCGCCGCATCTGCTATCCCTATTCCGCCTCACCTGCTATCCTCTCCCGCCGCATCTGCTATCCTATTCCGCCTCACCTGCTATCCTCTCCCGCCGCATCTGCTATCCTATTCCGCCTCACCTGCTATCCTCTCCCGCCGCATCTGCTATCCTATTCCGCCACACCTGCTATCCTCTCCTGCCGCATCTGCTATCCTATTCCGCCTCCTATCCTCTCCGCCTCACCTGCTATCCTCTCCGCCGCATCTGCTATCCTGTTCGCCTCATGCTATCCTCTCCCGCCGCATCTGCTATCCTATTCCGCCTCTCCTCTATCCTCTCCCGCCGCATCTGCTATCCTATTCCGCCTCTCGCATCCTCTCCAGCCGCATCTGCTATCCTATTCCGCCTCACCCTGCTATCCCGCCCTCTCCCAGCCGCATCTGCTATCCTATTCCGCCTCACCTGCTATCCTCTCCCGCCGCATCCCTATTCCGCCTCACCTGCTATCCTATTCCGCCTCATCTGCTATCCCTATCCTCACCTCTGCTATCCTCTCCGCCGCATCTGCTATCCTATTCCGCCTCACCTGCTATCCTCTCCCGCCGCATCTGCTATCCTATTCCGCCTCTCCTGCTATCCTCTCCCGCCGCATTTGCTATCCTATTCCGCCTCACCTGCTATCCTCTCCCGCCGCATCTGCTATCCTATTCCGCCTACCTGCTATCCTCTCCCGCCGCATCTGCTATCCCTGCTATTCCACCTGCTATCCTCTCCCGCCGCATCTGCATCCTATTCCGCCTCACCTGCTATCCTCTCCAGCCGCCGCATTCTCCTGCCGCATCTGCTATCCTATTCCGCCTCTCACCTGCTATCCTCTCCAGCCGCATCTGCTCCTATTCCGCCTCACCTGCTATCCTCTCCCGCCGCATCTGCTATCCTATTCCGCCTCACCTGCTATCCTCTCCCGCCGCATCTGCTATCCTATTCCGCCTCACCTGCTATCCTCTCCCAGCCGCCGCATTTGCCTATCCTATTCCACCCTCATCCCTCTCTCCCGCCGCATCTGCTATCCTATTCCGCCTTACCTGCTATCCTCTCCCGCCGCATCTGCTATCCTATTCCGCCTCACCTGCTATCCTCTCCCGCCGAATCTGCTATCCTATTCCGCCTACCTGCTATCCTCTCCCAGCCGCATCTGCTATCCCTATTGCCGCCTCACCTGCTATCCTCTCCAGCCGCATCTGCTATCCTATTCCGCCTCACCTGCTATCCTCTCCCGCCGAATCTGCTATCCTATTCCGCCTTACCTGCTATCCTCTCCAGCCGCATCTGCTATCCTATTCCGCCTCACCTGCTATCCTCTCCAGCCGCATCTGCTATCCTATTCCGCCTCTCCCGCCGCATCTGCTATCCTGCTATCCTGCTCCCGCCGCATCTGCTATCCTATTCCGCCACCCCTCATCCCTGCTATCCTCTCCCGCCGCATCTGCTATCCTATTCCGCCTCTGCTATCCTATTCCGCTATCCTCTCCAGCCGCATCTGCTATCCTATTCCGCCTCACCTGCTATCCTCTCCCGCCGCATCTGCTATCCTATTCCGCCTCACCTGCTATCCTCTCCCGCCGAATCTGCTATCCTATTCCGCCTTACCTGCTATCCTCTCCCGCCGCATCTGCTATCCCTATTGCCTCACCTGCTATTCTCCCGCCGCATCCTGCTATCCTATTCCGCCTCCCTCTCCCGCCGCATCTGCTATCCTATTCCGCCTTCTCCTGCTATCCTCTCCCGCCGCATCTGCTATCCTATTCCGCCTCACCTGCTATCCCTCTCCCGCCGCATCTGCTATCCTATTCCGCCTCTGCTATCCTCCAGCCGCATCTATCCCTATTCCGCCTCTCCTGCTATCCTCTCCCGCCGCATCTGCTATCCTATCTATTCCGCCCACCTGCTATCCTCTCCCCGCCGCATCTGCTATCCTATTCCGCCTCACATCTGCTATCCCTCCCGCCGCATCTGCTATCCTATTCCGCCTCACCTGCTATCCTCTCCCGCCGCATCTGCTATCCTATTCCGCCTCACCTGCTATCCTCTCCAGCCGCATCTGCTATCCTATTCCGCCTCTCCTGCTATCCTCTCCCGCCGCATCTGCTATCCTATTCCGCCTCACCTGCTATCCTCTCCCGCCGAATCTGCTATCCTATTCCGCCTTACCTGCTATCCTCTCCAGCCGCATCTGCTATCCTATTCCGCCTCACCTGCTATCCTCTCCCGCCGCATTTGCTATCCTATTTCCGCCTCACCTGCTATCCTCTCCCGCCGCATCTGCTATCCTATTCCGCCCTCATTTCCTGCTGCTATCCTCTCCAGCCGCATCTGCTATCCTATTCCGCCTCTCCTGCTATCCTCTCCCGCCGCATCTGCTATCCTATTATCCTCCTCTCCATCCATCTCTATCCTATTCCGCATCCTGCTATCCTCTCCAGCCGCATCTGCTATCTATTATCCTATTCCGCCTCACCTGCTATCTCCGCCGAATCTGCTATCCTATTCTATCCTTACCTGCTATCCTCTCCAGCCGCATCTGCTATCCTATCCCGCATCTGAATTTGTTATCCTATTCCGCCTTTACCCGTTATTCCGCCTCATCTGCTATCCTATCCCGCCTCCGCCTCCAGCCTGCTATCCTATTCCGCCTCACCTGCTATCCTCCCGCCGCATCTGCTATCCTATTCCGCCTCACCTGCTATCCTCTCCAGCCGCATCTGCTATCCTATTCCGCCTCACCTGCTATCCTCTCCCAGCCGCATCTGCTATCCTATTCCTATTCCGCCGCATCTGCTATCCTATTCCGCCTCCTATTCCGCTCCAGCCGCATCTGCTATCCCTCTCCTCTCCGCATCTGCGCATCCTATTATTCCGCCTATCCTACCCCCTCCTGCTATCTCTCCAGCCGCATCTGCTATCCTATTCCGCCTCACCTGCTATCCTCTCCGCCGCATTTGCTATCCTATTCCGCCTCTCCTGCTATCCTCTCCCGCCGCATCTGCTATCCTATCACCTGTTCATTTGCTATCCTATTCCGCCTCTCTGCTATCCCTCCAGCCCATGCTATCCTATTCCGCCTCACCTGCTATCCCTCCAGCCGCATCCTTCCTGCTATCCCCTCCGCCGCATCTGCTATCCCATTCCGCCTCACCTGCTATCCTCTCCAGCCGCATCTGCTATCCCATTCCGCCTCACCTGCTATCCTCTCCAGCCGCATCTGCCATCCTATCCTATTCCCGCCGCATCTGCTATCCTATTCCGCCTCTCCTGCTATCCTCTCCCGCCGCATCTGCTATCCTATTCCGCCTCACCTGCTATCCCTCCAGCCGCATCTGCTATCCTATTCCTCTCCTGCTATCCTCTCCCCCGCATCTGCTATCCCGCATCTCCCGCCTATCCTATTCCATTCCCCTCACCTGCTATCCTCTCCAGCCGCATCTGCTATCCTATTCCGCCTCATCCTGCTATCCCTCTCCAGCCGCATCTGCTATCCTATTCCGCCCTCACCTGCTATCCTCTCCCGCCGCATCTGCTATCCTATTCCGCCTCACCTGCTATCCTCTCCCGCCGCATCTGCTATCCTATTCCGCCTCACCTGCTATCCTCTCCCGCCGCATCTGCTATCCTATTCCGCCTCTCCTGCTATCCTCTCCAGCCGCATCTGCTATCCTATTCCGCCTCACCTGCTATCCTCTCCCGCCGCATTTGCTATCCTATTCCGCCTCTCCTGCTATCCTCTCCCGCCGCATCTGCTATCCTATTCCGCCTCACCTGCTATCCTCTCCAGCCGCATCTGCTATCCCTATTCCGCCCTCTCCTATCCCATTCCGCCTCCTGCTATCCCTCTCCCGCCCTCCATCCTAGCCTCACCTGCTATCCCTCTCCAGCCGCATCATATCCTATTCCGCCTCACCTGCTATCCTCTCCCGCCGCATTTGCTATCCTATTCCGCCTCTCCTGCTATCCTCTCCCGCCGCATCTGCTATCCTATTCCGCCTCACCTGCTATCCTCTCCAGCCGCATCTGCTATCCTATTCCGCCTCTCCTGCTATCCCTCTCCGCCGCATCTGCTATCCTATTCCGCCCTCACCTGCTATCCTCTCCCGCCGCATCTGCTATCCTATTCCGCCCTCCTGCTATCCTCTCCCGCCGCATCTGCTATCCTATTCCGCCTCACCTGCTATCCTCTGCTATCCTATTCCGCCTCACCTGCTATCCTCTCCCATCTGCTATCCTCTCCAGCCGCATCTGCTATCCTATTCCTCATTCCCGCCTCTCCTGCTATCCTCTCCCGCCGCATCTGCTATCCTATTCCGCCTCACCTGCTATCCTCTCCCGCCGCAATCCTATTCCTATCCTGCTATTCCGCCGCATTACATCCTATTCCGCCTCACCTCTATCCTCTCCAGCCGCATCTGCTATATCCTTATCCTCTCCGCCTCATCTCTGCTATCCTATTCCGCCTCCTATTCCACCTCACCTGCTATCCTCTCCCCGCCGCATCTATCCTATTTCCGCCCCTCCTCCAGCCGCTGCTATCCCTATTCCGCCTCACCTGCTATCCTCTCCAGCCGCATCTGCTATCCTATTCCGCCTCACCTGCTATCCTCTCCCGCCGCCTCCTATCCCTCACTCTCATCCTCACTCTCCAGCCGCATCTGCTATCCTATTCCGCCTCACCTGCTATCCTCTCCCGCCGCATCTGCTATCCTATTCCGCCTCTCCTGCTATCCTCTCCCGCCCATCTGCTATCCATTCCGCCTCACCTGCAATCCTATTCCGCCTCTCCTGCTATCCTATTCCGCCTCTCCTGCTATCCTCTCCCGCCGCATCTGCTATCCTATTCCGCCTCACCTGCTATCCCGCCCTATTCCCGCCTCTCCTGCTATCCCATTCCATCTGCTATCCTATTCCGCCTCCTGCTATCCTCCAGCCGCATCTGCTATCCTATTCCTAGCCGCATATTCCCCTGCCTCACCTGCTATCCCTCCGCCTCCCGCCGCATCTGCTATCCTATTCCGCCTTACCTGCTATCCTCTCCAGCCGCATCTGCTATCCTATTCGCCTCACCTGCTATCCTCTCCAGCCGTCCTATATCCTATTCCGCATCTGCTATCCTCACCTGCTATCCTCTCCAGCCGCATCTGCTATCCTATTCCGCCTCACCTGCTATCCTCTCCCGCCGCATCTGCTATCCTATTCCGCCTCTCCTGCCATCCTCTCCCGCCGCATTTGCTATCCTATTCCGCCTCACCTGCTATCCTCTCCAGCCGCATCTGCTATCCTATTCCGCCTCTCCTGCTATCCTCCGCCTCATCTGCTATCCTATTCCGCCTCACCTGCTATCCCTCTCCAGCCGCATCTGCTATCCTATTCCGCCTCACCTTGCTCCTCTCCCATCCCTCTCCAGCCGCATCTGCTATCCTATTCCGCAGATCTCCTGTCCTATCCTCCTCTCCCAGCCGCATCTGCTATCCTATTCCGCCTCACCTGCTATCCCTCTCCTTCGCCGCATCTGCTATCCTATTCCGCCTCACCTGCTATCCCGCCCATCCTCCAGCCGCATCTGCATATCCTATTCCGCCTCCCCACCTGCTATCCTCTCTCGCCGCATCTGCTATCCTATTCCGCCTCATATCCTCTCCTGCCGCCTGCTATCCTATCCTCTCCCGCCGCATCCCTCTCCATCCTCTCAGCCGCATTTGCTATCCTATTCCGCCTCTCCTGCTATCCCTCTCCCGCCGCATCTGCTATCCCATTCCGCCTCACCTGCTATCCTCTCCAGCCGCATCTGCTATCCTATTCCCTGCTATCCCTCTATCTATTCCGCTGCTATCCTCTCCCAGCCGCATCTGCTATCCTATTCCGCCTCTCTGCTATCCTCTCCAGCCGCATCTGCTATCCTATTCCGCCTCTCCTGCTATCCTCTCCGCCGCATCCATCCCATTCCTATCCCTATTCCGCATCTGCTATCCCATTCCGCCTCCTATCCTCTCCAGCCGCATCTGCTATCCTATTCCGCCCACACCCTATTCCGCCTCTATCCTGCTATCCTCTCCAGCCGCATCTGCTATCCTATTCCGCCCCTGCTATCCTCTCCCGCCGCCTGCTATCCTATTCCGCCTCTCCTGCTATCCTCTCCCGCCGCCTGCTATCCTATTCCGCCTCACCTGCTATCCTCTCCAGCCGCATCTGCTATCCTATTCCGCCTCACCTGCTATCTCTCCCGCCGCATCTCTATCCTATTCCGGCTCTCCTGCATCTGCTATCCCTATTCCGCCACTCCTGCTATCCTCTGTTGCCGCATCTGCTATCCCTCCCGCCTCATCCTATCCTATTCCGCCCCTCTATCCTCCCGCCGCATCTGCTATCCCTATCCCATTCCTCCCGCCGAATCTGCTACCTGCTATCCTCTCCAGCCGCATCTGCTATCCTATTCCGCCTCTCCTGCTATCCTCTCCGCCTCACCTGCTATCCTATTCCGCCTCTCCTGCCATCCTCTCCCGCCGCATCTGCTATCCTATTCCGCCTCACCCTATTCCGCCATCTTTTACTATTCCGCCTATCTATCCTCTCCAGCCGCATCTGCTATATCCTCATTCCCGCCTCCCGCTATCCTCCTCCTATCCTCTCCAGCCGCATCTGCTATCCCTATTCCGCCTCACCTGCTATCCTCTGCATCTGCTATCATTTGCGCATCCTATCCCATTCCGCCTCACCTGCTATCCTCTCCCCGCCCTATTCCGCCTCTCCTGCTATCCTCTCCCTGCCGCATCTGCTATCCTATTCCGCCTCACCTGCTATCCTCCGCCGCATCTGCTATCCTATTCCGCCTCACCTGCTATCCTCCCGCCGCATCTGCTATCCTATTCCGGCCTGCTATCCTACATCCTATTCCGCCTCACCTGCTATCCCTCTCCCGCATCGCATATTGCTATCCTGCTATCCTTCCGCCGCTCCATCCTATTGCCTATCTATCCTCCAGCCGCATCTGCCTTACCTCCTATTCCGCTATCCTCACCTCACCTGCTATCCTCTCCCGCCGCATCTGCTATCCCTATTCCGCCTCACCTGCTATCCTCTCCCGCCGCATCTGCTATCCCTATTCCGCCTCACCTGCTATCCTCTCCAGCCGCATCTGCTATCCTATTCCCACATCCTCTCCCGCCTCGCTATCCTATTCCTATCCTCTCCAGCCGCATCTGCTATCCTATTCCGCCTCACCTGCTATCCTCTCCCGCCGAATCTGCTATCCTATTCCGCCTTACCTGCTATCCTCTCTCCCAGCCGCATCTGCATCCCTATCCTGTTCCGCCTCATCCTGCTATCTATCCTCCAGCCGCATCTGCTATCCTATTCCGCCTCTCCTGCTATCCTCTCCCGCCGCATCTGCTATCCTATTCCGCCTCACCTGCTATCCTCTCCAGCCGCATCTGCTATCCTATTCCGCCTCTCCCATCCTCTCCGCCGCATTTGCTATCCTGTTCCGCCTCACCTGCTATCTCCAGCCGCATCTCCCGCCGCATCTCCAGCCGCATCTGCTATCCTATTCCGCCTCACCTGCTATCCTCTCCCGCCGCATCTGCTATCCTATTCCGCCTCTCCTGCTATCCTCTCCCGCCGCATCTGCTATCCTATTCCGCCTCCTCATCTGCTATCCTATTCCTCCCTCCTCCCGCCATCTGCTATCCTATTCCGCCTCACCTGCTATCCTCTCCGCCGCATCTGCTATCCCTATTCCGCCTCACCTGCTATCCTCTCCCGCCGCATTTGCTATCCTATTCCGCCTCACCTGCTATCCTCTCCAGCCGCATCTGCTATCCTATTCCGCCTCACCTGCTATCCTCTCCCGCCCATCTGCTATCCTATTCCGCCTCTCCTGCTATCCTCTCCCGCCGCATTTGCTATCCCTATTCCGCCTCACCTGCTATCCTCTATCCTCCTCCCAGCCGCATCTGCTATCCTATTCCGCCTCTCCTGCTATCCCTCTCCCGCCGCATCTGCTATCCTATTGCCCTCCTGCCTTATCCTCTCCCGCCGAATCCTATCCAGCCGCATCTGCTATCCTATTCCGCCTCACCTGCTATCCTCTCCAGCCGCATCTGCTATCCCTATTCCGCCTCACCTCACTCCTCTCCCTGCTATCCTCTCCCGCATCTGCATCTGCTATCCCTATTCCGCCTCACCTCCTATCCCTCTCCCGCCGAATCATGCTATCCTATTCCGCCTCACCTGCTATCCTCTCCAGCCGCATCTGCTATCCTATTCCGCCTCTCCTGCTATCCTCTCCCGCCGCACCTGCTATCCTATTCCGCCTCACCTGCTATCCTCCCCAGCCGCATCTGGCATCCTATTCCGCCTCTCCTGCTATCCTCTCCAGCCGCATCTGCTATCCTATTTCACCTGCTATCCTCACCTGCTATCCTATTCCGGTTATCCTCTCCAGCCGCATTTGCTATCCATCCTGCTATCCTATTCCGCATCCTGTTCCGCCTCTCCAGCCGCCTCACCTGCTATCCTCTCCCGCCGCATCTGCTATCCTATCCGCCTCCTGCTCCACCTGCTATCCTATTCCGCCTCACCTGCTATCCTCTCCGCCGCATTTGCCATGCTCCCGCCTCTCTCCTGCTGTCCTCTCCCGCCCATCTGCTCCTATTCCGCCGCATCTGCTATCCTGCTCCCTATTCCTGCTATCTCTCCAGCCGCATCTGCTATCCTATTCCGCCTCTCCTGCTATCCTCTCCCGCCGCATCTGCTATCCTATTCCGCCTCACCTGCTATCCTCTCCCGCCGCATCTGCTATCCTATTCCGCCTCTCCTGCTATCCTCTCCAGCCGCATCTGCTATCCTATTCCGCCTCTCCTGCTATCCTCTCCAGCCGCATCTGCTATCCTATTCCGCCTCACCTGCTATCCTCTCCTGCCGCATTTCCTATTCCGGCCTCCTGCTATCCTCTCCAGCCGCATCTGCTATCCCATTCCGCCTCTCCTGCTATCCTCTCCAGCCGCATCTGCTATCCCTATTCCGGTGCTATCCCTCCTCTCCTGCATCTGCATTATCTATCTATTCCGTTCCTCACCCTATCCTCTCCAGCCGCATCTGCTATCCCTATTCCCGCCTCACCTGCTATCCCTCACCTGCTATCCTCTCCCGCCCATTTGCTATCCTATTCCTATCCTCTCCTGCTATCTCCACCTCTCCTGCCGCATCTGCTATCCTATTCCGCCTCACCTGCTATCCTCTCTCCAGCCGCATCTGCTATCCTATTCCGCCTACCTGCTATCCTCTCCAGCCGCATCTGCTATCCTATTCCGCCTCTCCTGCTATCCTCTCCCGCCGCACCTGCTATCCTAATCCTCTCCAGCCACATCCTATCCTCTCCCGCCGCATCTCACTATTCTGCCTCCCCACCTGCTATCCTCTCCAGCCGCATCTGCTATCCTATTCCGTCCTCTCCGCCGCATTTGCTGTCTATTCCGCCTCTCCTGCTACCTGCTATCCTCTCCAGCCGCATCTGCTATCCTATTCCGCCTCACCTGCTATCCTCTCCCGCCGCATTTGCTATCCTATTCCGCCTCTCCTGCTATCCTCTCCCGCCGCATCTGCTATCCCTATTCCGCATCTCATCCTATTGCTATCCTCTCCAGCCTATTCCGCCTCATCTGCTATCCTATTCCGCCATCTGCTATCCTATTCCGCCTATCCTCTCCCGCCGCATTATCCTATTCCGCCTATCCTATTCCGCATCTGCCTCACCTGCTATCCTCTCCCGCCGCATCTGCTATCCTATTCCGCCTCACCTGCTATCCTCTCCAGCCGCATCTGCTATCCTATTCTATTCCGCCTCCTGCTATCCTCTCCCGCCGCATCTGCTATCCCTATTCCGCATCACCTGCTATCCTCTCCCGCCGAATCTGCTATCCTATTCCGCCTCACCTGCCTATCCTCTCCAGCCGCATCTGCTATCCTATTCCGCCTCTCCTGCTATCCTCTCCCGCCGCATCTGCTATCCTATTCCGCCATCACCTGCTATCCTCTCCCGCCGCATCTGCTATCCTATTCCGCCACCTGCACCTGCTATCCTCTCCAGCCGCATCTGCTATCCTATTCCGCCATCCATTCCCTGCTATCTCTCCCGCCGCATCTGCTATCCTATTCCGCCTTACCTGCCATCCTCTCCCGCCGCATCTGCTATCCTATTCCGCCACACCTGCTATCCTCTCCCGCCGCATCTGCTATCCTATTCCGCCACACCTCTCCCTATCCTGCTCCAGCCGCATCTGCTATCCTATTCCGCTATCCTCTCCAGCCGCATCCATCCTATACCCCTCCCGCCGCATTTGCTATCCTATTCCGCCTCTCCTGCTATCCTCTCCCGCCGCATCTGCTATCCTATTCCGCCTCACCTGCTATCCTCTCCCGCCGCATCTGCTATCCTATTCCGCCTCACCTGGTATCCTCTCCCGCCTCACCTGCTATCCTATTCCGCCTCACCTGCTATCCTATTCCACCTCACCTGCTATCTTCTAACGCCGCTCCTATGAGACGCACCGCATCGTTTGGGAACCGCTGACCTAAGTATACCGTGAAGGTCATGAAGGGTCAAAAATAAGATAAAATTAGTCATTTTTCATGGAAGTTAAATTTTTATTCCCATGTACAAAATATTGCAGTAAGTGGTGTAAATCAACTTTTGGCAGTAAATTAATATATGATTACTTCGCTTAGTCTATACAAATAAAATGAAGTGTTTGTCCTTTTTTATTTAGAGAAAATTAAGACCCGAGGAACATGGGGTACGACTACTAGTAAAAAAAATTTAAAAAAAGAAAAAAACAATCAAATACAAAAATAAATAAGATACAAATAATAATAATAATAATAATAATAATAATAATTAAATATCAGTTTTCACAAGGATATACTAAAGAAAAAATATCGGGATCTTGGTGTTCTCGGATCGTGACTATAATGGCTTCCATTGCGTTCGGTGTTTGGACTTTTTATCCGAGCGTTTCAACCCTTGTGAAAGGCCTTCGTCAGGTGCCTATCAAACTACATATCCTTTCATTAGTAAACATCTACGCGGATGATACGACGATATACGGGCGCACCTCTAAAACTCTTGACGATCAGAGATTGGCAGTTGACATTTCTTCTTATCTAACACTAAATTCCCAGTGCGTGAAAAACTGGCTGGTTACATTCAATACCTCGAAAATCAAACATGCTTCATCCGATCACCGTCGATTAGAACGCGAAGAACGGCCAGTCACGATGAACAGACATCCCTTCCAGGAACCTTCTAGCCTTGAGGGAATATTGCGACTCAAACTCAGAGATTGTCTTATTTTCCGAAAAATTGGCGCTCTAAGAGAGAGAGAGAGAGAGAGAGAGAGAGGAAACCTATGTTCCCATCTGTTCTCATCTTATGATACAAGAAATCTAAGGTCTCATTTGTTCTCATCTTATGATACAAGAAACCTGTTGTCTCTTGAAACCTCTGGTTGAGGATTAGAGACAACTCATACAACACAGTGCAAAGACAAAACACAATAATAATAATAATAATAATAATAAAAGAAGAATCTGCAATCTGCATTCTGGCTTCGGTCACTTTCCGTCTACCGTAATGCAGCTTCGTTTTGCCTTTTCTGTTAATATTTTTCTTGGTTACTATTCTGATAATCTTTGCTCTATGAAACCCAGACTTTATGAATTTAAACGCAGTACTAGATTGGCGGTAAGGTCTCATCATTTTACAGTTGAAATGGCTTGATGTAACCGAATGTTCTATGCTAACAGTTTCTTCTATCGCACTTCTCGCTTGTGAAAATCTCTCCCGGCTTATTACTTTCCAGTCAATTTAGATCTTCAAAAATTCATAAATATTCATAAATTCAAAAATTCATAAATATTCATAAATTCAAAAATTCATATGCAATGTCAATCGTTATCTACTGTTTTACTCATATTCTTTTACTGTTTTTCTTACCTTTTCTTACTCATATTCTTTTAATGTGAATAGTAGTCTCCATGTTAATGTATACCACGGAAAAATTTAATTGTAGACATTTGGGGCTTTCTCTGTTTTCAGCAATTCGTCAAATGTGGGATGAATAAAACGCTTTTCAATAGAAATTTCTTTGATAATGTATACACACTATTTCACGATTAAATAAAAAAAAAATAACAGAACCACTCTAGTTAGCTCTAAAAGATGACATGAAGGGGAGACTTTTAATTAATTATATATTAGTTAAACTCGCTTCTGTCATTAATACTTGTTTAATTTCGGGTCCCAAAAAACTTTTACTTATCGATTGTCAATGCATTTCTATAGTAAAATAAATAACAATATATTTTCACTATTTACATTATTCGGACTATTCGAGGATTTCTTTAACAGAATTATCAATGAAGACCAGAGAACGATCCCAAATCTCTATCTATAAAAGGCAGGAAGTGTGTGTGTAACGAATGCACGGCCGCAATTACATGCACATGCTCCAAGTTAGCGGGAAGGCCAAGATCGACTTTGCATTTCCCAACTCCCATCGATTTTTCATGCTTCTACGGCAGTTTTCATGTAGTTTACGGCCATTTACTACTGGCCAGAGTGAGAGCCTATAGCTGACTGCCACGAATGGCAGGAAGATTCTATTGGCCAGCGTGAGAGCCAACGGCTGACTGACACGAATGTTAACTAGCATGCTAGCATGCAAAAAAATCGATAGCTGCATTCGTCACTAGTGGGAAAAATTTAAATCTGCATGGCACTTTACTCTAATTGGTCCATTCGCTTGCTTAAACTCAACGTTGATTCTGATTCCGCAGAACTGGGTTGGGTGTGAAAAAGTATTTGTTAACATTCTTTTTCATTCGGTTTTTCCAGTTACGAGTCCTTTTTTTTAAAGCTGATCGTTTTTGTGTTCATTTTGTTTAGATCTTTTTCGTAACAGATTTAATGTTTTAGTATAGAGCTTAGAAAAAATTCGCAGTGTGAGATAGGCAAGAAATAAGGCATGTAGCAACATCAGCACGGCAAAGGGCACTCCTTTAAAGGCAAGCAAAGGGCAAAAATATTTTAAGTCAAGTGATAGCAATTGCTGTATGAATCGTACGATTTTTGAATCAAGCACGGGCAACCCCGGGTCATGCTGCTAGTGATTTGGATAAATTCTTCAGACATGAATTCGATGTAGTAAAGGCTCGTCAAGTACAAAAATTAAACAGATTGAAAAATCAGAAGGTGACGCACAAGGTCCATAATCCACCAGTGTCAACAAAGATAATGACTATAGTCCGAATAATGTAAATAGTGTACATAATACCTCATCTCAGAAAGAGAGACAATATATTTTCATTGCACATATAATAGCAATATTTTCTCAGTAACACTTGCATTTATTCGTGAAAATCGACTATTTTTTCTTATTGATTTTTTATGTATTTTTATATTAAAATAATTAATAATGTATCTTCATTATACATATAATAGCAATATTGTCTCAGTAACACTTGCATTTATTTGGGATCATCGACAGTTTTTTTCTCCTTCATATTCAGTGCATTTCTCGAGTAAAAGAATGTATTTTCAATTTACGTCGTAATGGTGAACTTGGCATTTTCTTTTTCTTTTATTCAGCATGATGAGCGATCAGATAACATTACTGAAATTTATAAAATATTTCTTTTAAAACCGTCTTTCAAGAAAATAAGTTTCTAGAGTCCATTATCTGTTATCATTCTTTCTAGTATTAATGGTGGCTGCTTTATTAAACATTTGTTTCTATTCGTATACCCTCAGTAATATTTTTATTAATTTGTGACCATCGACAATTCTATTTTTGATTTTCAATGCAATTCTATTCTAAAATCACTTGTCTACAATTTCATTTTATATAATAATAATAATATTTTATCCATTATTATCTTGATTCCTGACCAGTAACAATCCCTTTCTTCCTGATTTTAAATGTATTATCGTTGTAAAAATAATTATTATTGAATTTACATTATTCAAATAAAATATTTTTCTGTTAATAATTATTCAATTAATAGCTGCTAACGCATTATTATGTACTGATCAGGAAAGGTTTAATATATTATTTTAATAATATCTATCTGTGAAGAAAGGAATTACATCAGCAACAAGATAAAAAAATAAATAAATAAATATCCTTATTGCTCGAAAATAATACTTTTTTTCTTTTTTTTTCTTTAAATTACAGGTGATGGTAGGGGTGCGTATTATAAATAGGTTTAAACAAAGATATTTCTTTCGTTATTGATTTATAATAATAAATACGTATTTATTGTTCTAAAATAAGAAAGATATCCCAGTTTTCATTTTAAATCCAACAATAATAATTATAACATTTTTTGTCAATAAATTTATGTTTATCAGTAACCGTATTTTTTATTTAGCGAGAAAATGAAACATCTATAAAAAGGTCAATTTCGAAGAAGTTATGGAACATCAACTTGATCGTCTTTCTTTCAAAAATTCAACTAAACTTTGTTCCATATCTGGATATTGAGCTTTTCTTCCTCTTTGGCACTCGATTTACACTTTTTTTTATTCTTTCTCCATAAACATATGTTAGCCTCATTCAACTCATCTTCTCTAACTGCAGCTCTGTTTCCTATTCTTTCTGCTAATTCTATTACTTTTTGTTTAAAAAAAAAAACTATAACTCGCACGTTTTGACGAGATTTTAGCGGTAAAATAAAATGTTATATTTATCAGGAAAATCACCTGGTAATTTTCAACATTATTTTAGCCGCTTAGTCTCGACTTTATTCTTAATGTCAAGGTCGACGAAATGTCTTCGTAATTATATATTTTTTGACAAAATTTATTGATGTGTATTATACGTAGGGATAGATATATTTCTTAATTTCTGGATCATTTGTTGGGGTGCGTATTATATATGGGTGCGTATTATTTCCGAGAAATTACGGTAAATTGACGTGCTACTCAAATGTCAGATAAAAAAAATATGCATTAATTCTTTAGAAATTGCTTTCGGATACGAAACTGTGCAAACATGAAACTTACGCGGAAATAATCCGAACGAGATGTTTTAAGGGGAATAGAGCCGATTGGATTGTGAGATTCTCTATAGCTAAGTAGTCTAAAGCATGGGGATGCGGGTTCGAGCTCAGCCGAGGGTCATCTTTTGTTTATTAATTTTTTTTTCGAATGCACAGATCGGTAGATGAAATAAACGCTTCGAAAAACAAAGATAAGGGATATTCTACTCAAATCGGCATATTCGTTAAAATAATATTTGAAGTGATATATGCATCAGATATCTCGAATATTGAGACAGGTGGATGAAAATAAATATACTGTATAAAAAAAAAGACAGTTTAAAAAATAAATGGAGCGTCTACTCCGATATGAGTATTCACTAAAAATAACGTTTGATGTGACATGCCAAGTGT